CTTTCCCCACCCGGCAGAGGCAGGAGGCTGCAGCTGGGCTGGGTCAGGTTCCTTAGACAAAAGGGCTCTTCCCTTTTGCTCCTGCCTGTTGTTGTTCAGCCAAACCTGCTCCTGGCCTTGCACGCTTTAAATTGTGCCTGTCGAATGCAGGTGCAAAACAGCGTGCTAAAATCCACTCTTTAAAAAGACAGTGAGATTCATCTCCAATCAGTTAGAAATTCCCTGAAACAACTAAAGCTCAGCCTGTCAAGTCATAAGTCTCAAAGGCTTTTGGCGACTGTAAACCTTAAATAAAACCAGCATTGCTTTCAATGTTAGAAATGCTTTGTTTAGGTGACGAGATCCCCTAACGACAAAGTACGGAGAGCGGCGTAGGAGCTGCCAAAACCACAACGGCTACTCTCCAGTAGCTCCTCATCCTTCTTGAACCGGGCCGTGGTGTGTTAACTCCTCTGGAAGCAGCATGGGGCAGGAGGGGATCGTTCCTGATCCCATTCACCCCTGGTGAGCTTCCGCGAGCGTTAAGCCTGGCTCTGGTGAGCCTGTGTGTGTTTTCCAGTGGCTTGTGTAGCGTGGCTGGTGCTGGCACCGAGCTCCAGAGAAGGATGGGGCTTGCTGCAGCGCTCAGTGGAGCCAGGGAGCGTATATATTGGCAATTTTTTTGTTTCTACCCTGAATTTGTTACACAAAATGCACCATTGACTTGGGATTCCTGTGGCCTGCTGTTCGCAAGGGAACTTGCACAACCGGGTTCTGTTTGTGCTCGCGCTTCAGCTTTGTTTCATGGTGCAAGTGTGCCTGGGTGCTCCAAAAGTTCTGCTGCTGTTTTGAGGGCCATGTGGCATTAACATCACGATTCTCCTTGAAGAACCCATCCCACTGGGTGTGCTGGTGACAGCGGTGTCCTGCTGTGTGGCCCTGGACTTTAAAGCTGTGTGGCCTCGTGTCCCTCATTTTCGGGTGTGCACCCTGGTGTGTCCACACTCGGGAGCCAAGCACCCGTCAGCGTGAGACCCTGCTGTCGGGGTTTTGCCCTGTGCAGGGGGGTCTTGGTGAAGAGCATGTGCACAGCGCAGCCAGGGCAGCACGCAGCTCTGGTCTCCGCTCTGAAGCTCTTTTTCCTCTTGAGTGACCGGGGGGTGGGCACAAACCTGCAGCCTGCCAGCTGAAATGCATGTCCAGGAGATGAGACTTCTGCTTTTCTTTGCCCAACGTGTTGCCAGCCAACCTCTGCCATCCAAGAGCTTGCTGGGCCGTGCTGCGAGATCGCTGGCATGAGGACACCTCCACCCTTTCCCTTGAAACTTTCTTGCTGCCTTCCAGAGCAGACGGCAAGAGAAAGGCTGTAATTAGCGCAGAGAGAAAAGCTTCCTTCAGGGAGGCGGGGGAGCCTTAAGCTCCTTGTTGTGGGGCGTTGGGAAGGAACATGGGTACAGTATTGCGAAAGGGGGTCAGGCCTGATGACAGCTTCTACGGTACGTGGGTACGTGCCTCCTCACCTCCTGCCGAGGACCCTCCTTGAGCAAGAGAGGCGGCGGTGACACCTCCAGCAGGCACCGTGGTGACACCTCCAGCAGGCACCGTGCCATCCAGTCACCGGCTCGCTCCTCTGGGGTGGGTGTGAGCTCCTCCAGGCTGGGGAGGGAACTAAACCCCGGGTTCCCAGGTCTGGGTGGCTGCTCCTAGCACTGGGCTGCTCTGTAGAGATAATGCCCTTTTCCTCACTGCTGCTGTCTTAAAAAAAATAAAAAAAAAATAATAAAAACAAACCCCAGAATAAACCGCTCTGGTGTTTTAGCCTAGAAAGGGGTGTTGGGTGAGGTCTGCTGATTTATCTTGGAGCTTCAGAGATGGGATTTTTGGAGACGTCCCTTTTTCAGCTGCTTGTGAATTAAACTATTTTGCCTGGTGAGCTGCAGCCCGTCGCAGAGCGTGGCATGAGCGGCGACGTGTCCTTGCGGAGATGAGGAAGCGGAAGG